CCTAACACAATAGCCAACTCACTAATTAAGCGAACAAAATTTCTCGGCATCATGTTCGAATTTAAGGCAAGGACAAAGCTCGACTTAATCGCCGGGGCAAGCAATCAACAAAAGAGTAGCATAACAAAGGAACCCCCACTATCTGTTACGACAAAGGGTGAAAATATCGTCGCCATTGAGCAAACTAATCCGGAAAGTTATATAAGTGGTGGGTTGGGGGTGCCAAGTTTTTTAACTGCCAAAACACTAAATCGCACAATTTCCTTGTTCATGCAGTTAATAACCTTGTTTAACTGTATGAGGGAGCCAAGCAAACTTCTCTTTCTATCATCGATATTCCAACCAGTATGCTAAAATAAGTTTGGGTTTCAGTAAGATCCACAAAATCTAAAAATACTCACGGGAAAATTGAAAATGATGGATTAAACAACCTATAGGGAGCTGTGGAGACTTTCTGGCAACATTTCCGTTCCAACAAAATGTGTGATATATATTTCACACGTTGATCACACAGAATATACATTTCATCTGCAACATATTTTATTTTAATGTTTTTAGCTATTCTGCCAAGATTCGATGTTATGTATAAGGTCATAACAAAGAAACATATTGTAGTACCTATATATAAATCATATTGATGTAAACCCCGAATTAAAACGATTAACACGAACACTGAAACTAGCAATAAGTCTTCTTTTCTCATCCATTAACACAATATTCATTTTTACCTGCAAACTTGAAATGGATATCGAAGTGTGTTGGTGGTAATCCAATCCGAAAGAAATACCATAAAAATGATGTTGCTACTCAGTTACGCCATTGTAACTGTACCCCCGGTAAATGTTCGACGTTGGAGACCAGTGTTGCTGCTGTTGGTAGGCATCGTTACGAGTGCTCCCAAAAAACACGTTTTCGTCCACGTTTTATTGTTATTCAATTATTTATGATATCAAGACAAGGGAGCTAAGAACAATGACAGCAGCAACAATAATGCTAATGGAAATTTAAAGCATCGACGAACGACCTTGAGACAGACAACCAGAAAACATTGAAGACGAGGCGACATAACCATAAAGGATGTTTATTTTTATACAACATTTCACAGATCGGTATGCACGCCCATATAAATGTTGAATTATAGGTTTTATTTGTAGAATAAATTCACGTTATTGGGAACAGTGGGAATTCGAATACACTTAGGAATGTAGAGGAATGAAATTTTATAACAATAGAAGATGACTTATAAATACGAACATGAGATTCTTGGCGAATGCTTCACACTTTCACATGGTACTTCCAAATCTTGTTGATTTTACTTGCTCCAAACACGAAGGAGGAATGTTATTTTACTTAGAAATCTTGCCGATCTTATGGGACTTTAGAAGTATCTTTCTATCTCATGTGTGCAAAAAAATTATTCTGTGTCCATGGTTGGATTTTTTTTCAAAATTGTATTTTTTGTAAATTTTGTATTTCATTTTTACTAAAAAGTTCATATATAATAATCGAATCCGATCTTTTGCATATGATACTTGCACGGAGTATTTTATTCTCTAGACATAGGAAATATGGGTCAACGTTTGAGTACAGCTCTGATATATATTAACCGAAATTCATGGTTCGAAATAGAAAGCCTATTGCCCCGGTTCGTGAAATGTTTTAAATTTTAAACGGTGAAAAAGGTTCCACAGTTAGCACAGTCTTAAAAAAATTGAAAATTTTGTATGCGCTACAAAATGGAGTAACCTAAAAATTACGCAGGGAACCGTTAATATCTTCTGAATTAAAGAATCTTCTCATACCCGACGGAATCAAAAGGGCCAATCGACATTATAACTTCAGTGTGCCAAAGAAAAGCTAATTTATCTGAGCTCAAATAATGTTTTTTATGGTTTGAGTTGCAAGATGTTTGATAACGTGTAGGTGGTTACAGTTGGCCACAGGGACCTTGTGATTTGATAACTTTCAACTTTTTCTCTTGGGAGCTATATCGATTAAATGGATTCGTGAGGAATATGCCAGCCACTTTGAAATTTTACCGCTTTTCAAACAATTTTCTGCAAACAAAAACGATTGTATTGGTAATTTATTTGAGGTAGATCGTACCAACTATGATCCTTATTTGAACGTGCATCATGGCTTACCAAATAACTTTGCTGTACAGTGCATGATATGACTTCGATAAGTGCAAAATTTCATACTATTCGGGCTGATATTACACGTTTGGTGCACAATAAAAGGCAAATCGGACGAATATGGGAGCTATATCAAAATTTTGACTGATTATATCCAATTTCAATAGGGTTTGTCCTTGGGCCAAACAAATGATTTGTGCAAAATTTCATCTCAATCGGATAATAAATGCGACCTGCATTTTGTTCACAAGAATACATAAACAGACGGACGGACAGACGGACTGACATGCATAAATCAATTCAGAAAGTGATTCTATGGAGATCCTCAAAAGTTACTATGGGTCTATCTCGCTTCCTTCTCCATGTTACAAACAAATGCAAAAAGACATAATACCCTGACCACTATGTGGTGTAGGGTATAAACATTAAGTTCGGCCGGGCCGAATTTTTAATACCTTCCACCTTAGAGTAATGGAAACACTAGAACCAATTATGACCCACAAATACCAATTTTTAGACAAATCCATGAAAAAATGTGGCAAAAATCATCAAAATACCGAATATCAGAGGTACCGTTATATGGGGCCTATACAAAAGCGTGGACCTATACATACAATGTTTCGCCGCACGAACTAGGACACATTATGACCTACAAATACCAGTTTTAAGAAAAATCCGTGAAAAAGTGTGGAATTTTAGCGTGTTAGTGTGTTTTCTTTATATTTGGCTGGAAAACCACAAGTGGCTATCGTTAGAGCACTCCAGCATTTAAATGTGAATAAATCTTTTGTGTCTCTTACCATCGCTCGTTACCGTGATACTGTTAGCGTAGCCCGACGTCAAGGAAGTGAAAGGAAGAAAACAGCAATATCAGCAGAAATGGTTCGAAAAGTAAAGAAGCGACTTGACAGAAACAACCAAAATTTCCGGCTACCAATCCGTTGGACTATTGTGTCTGGAGTATTTTGAAAACAAGGTTGCACCAAGCAAGCGCTTCGCCGGGATTGGGCCAAAATACCGCAGAGCAACATTTGGGCAGTGTGTGACGGTTTCATTGGTCGAAGGCCACAATTCGTGCCAAAGGTGACCAATTCGAACAAATCTAAACTTATTCTAAAATTTGATGCTATTATCGTCATTTTTTGATTCCATTCAATAAAATTAAAAAAAAAATGTAAAAATGGTAGCGTTGGACTTTGTTGCAGTTTTTCATCTCACCCTGTGTATATGGGAACTATAACTATATATGAACCGATTTTCACCAAACTTTGAAGTACTTTCTTCCAGGCTGAATTTCGTCGGAGGTACCAAATTTCAGTCCATTTGGACTGATATTAGTCATTTGTTACACAATAAACCTGAAATCGGATAAAGATATATACGGGACCTTTATCCAAATCTGATCCGATCTCTATAACAGTTGGCAGAGGTATTTTTAAGCTCCATAAGTTATCTAGTACTAATATCATTCTTGTGGAGTGTATATTACGCATGTGATGGACTTTAAAGTACTTGTTTCTAGGCTGAATTAGGTCGGCTGTGCAGAAATACATCCTATTTGGACGTATATTACACAATTCTCAACAATTCTGTTCAAAAATGTACCGTTGTATAGATTATATGCCACAACTTGGAAATTCGGTGATCTGGGCAAACACGCAAAATGACTTTGGTTGGTTATTCCCCAACACGGACCACTTACAATACAGAAAATTATACTTAGCTAAAATAAATGCTAGTAAAATTTTATGAACATACTTCATTTTAGTTTGGAAACTAACAGATGTACGGACATCGATTTCCTTGCTGGTTTTCTATGCCCCATAAGCCAAGCTCTTAAACCACCTTGTAGAAAAAGATTTACAAAATATTGACAAGTTAATTTCTTAATCTTGCGGAAGAGACTAAAACAGTCTCAAACAGCAATAAGATTTTTCACTGCCGAAAAATTCGTAATTTTTATGCAGATCGGTTCAGATTAATTTATTTGAAGCCTTGAAATTTTACTCTAAAATGTGTATTGTCTAAGATCATTGGCATTAAGAATAGTCTACTTTAATCAACTGAATTGTCATGGTATTAGGTATTTTCACTGGATAAAATCACCCTGGGAAAACGTTTGAATGACACTCCACGTTTTGCAATATGTGGTGTGGCAATATATACATGGCCTAAGTAATGTTTGAATTGGTCTGTCCCTTACAACTTTGCTTCTACAAAATTATTTTTATATTTCGAATATAGTTTTAATAACTAAAAACCCTAAAATATGTACACAACAATGACTGGAATCCGTTACATGCCACAAAAAAACTTCTCCACGGAGATTGCGTTGGCTATTTTTAAATCAATGCCTAGACATGTGGCATATTCTCCTGGCACTTTGTGATGACATTGGATGAACAGACCAGAGTCCAATGACCGGATGGCATGCAACATACATATTTTGACCTGTCAATTGGAACAACTGTTTCTCTTCCTTCCCCTACTCCTCCTCCTTGCTTGGTGTGATACTTACGTAAGTACACAGCAAGGATGAAACAGAAAGAGAAACAGTTAAATGGTTAAAAACGTTATGGCTATTTATGGATGTCGTCTTGTCCTGAATGACCAGTTTTGTTTTTTTGCTAAGGTTGTGGGGACAAAACACACACCTGCGCACATTTTCAGCCTTTTCGAGTGATAACGGCAGCCGGAGATCAAGGTCGATCATTTTGAATCTGGTTGTAATGAGAATGGTTCTGGCTTCTTGTCATGTAACTGGTATAACAGAATGCTTGACAGGATTTCCTGCCAAGGATGCCACTATAAATAGTGCGAGCAGTGGCTGAGTTCTTCACAGTTTTCGTTGGAACTTCTTACGAGGCATCAGTCAACCAAGCAATCGAAGCTATTTGGATGAACGACGCAGTTGTTTGGAAGTTCTTCGTGGAAATATAAAGAAAAACTAATCGAACTAATCAGCATCATGAGATTGTTTCTCTTAAGTCTGTTGGCGGTGGGCAGTGTCCATTCACTGGCCATCGGTTATCCCTACAAGTCGGGATTGGTGGGCTATGTTCCGGCCCGTGGTGAATTCCCCGTTCAACGTTCTGTGGTGCAGGGCTATGTGCGCTACCTGGACAGTCATGGCGTTGAACGTTTAGTGCCGTACAGTTATCCTGAACCGCTCTACGGTGTCAGACAAATCAGCTATGTTGGCGGTGTTCCAGGCGTAAGTAGTCCCCTTGCTGCAGTACCCCAACACGACAGGTCACGTGAGTTTCAACAGATTCGCGAAGCACACTTTCACGTCTATTCCCTGCAACAGTACCAGGCATTGAAGCGTGAAATTGATGCTTTGCAAGCTGAAGGCTCAGAACCGCCAACCGATTTGTTGGACAAGTTCCAGCCTTTGGAGAAAATCGCTCTGACCTCGGACTTTAGTTTAATTGCTTCACTGCCGGACGTGAAGCAAGTCTATGATGAACATTTGAAACTATTTAATGATGCTCATATCAAAAATTTACAGGCTGAAGTTGTCCACAAGCCCGCTGGAGAGATTAAGACTTATGGCTTCCATCAAGCACCGTTGGCTGTGCCCGTGCCAGTGGAAGAGTCCCCCGAACAGAAGCATGCCCGAGAGGAGCATTTACGTATTTACAATGAGCAGATAAAACATTGGCAAGAGCTACAGGAACAACATGGCCGTCTGGTGTCGGAGGTGGCGCCCAAGGTACACCAGACCACTGTTGTTGAGCAATCAGTCAAGCAAGTATCTAGTCAAGATGATGGCTTAACCGAAGTTGAAAGAGCCACCCAGGAGCATTTGCGTTTATGGAATGAAGCCAAGTTGAGGGCAGAAAAGGCAAGTCAACACGATAGTGTTTTAGAGAAGTCTCACCAATCTGTGGACAAAAGCCATGTTGTGGTGGATAACGCGCAAAGTTCGGGCCAAGAAATTCATGAAGTTGTTGGCAAATCATCCTTAGACCACATTGCCCACATCGCCGTGCCCCAACCCAAAAACACCGTCGTCGAGGTACCCCAATCCGTTCCCCATGAACAACATTTCATTGTGGATACACCCGAAGTAGTGAAAGCTCGTGCAGAACATTTACGTTTGGTGGAGGAAGCCAAAACCAAGGTGGCCAGTGTAGAACATGTTGATGATAAGCAAGAACACCATATCCAGGTGCCACAGGTGAAATCCGTTGTCCACGACATCCACAACATTGTCCATCCCGTTGGCATTCCTGATACCCCTGAAGTTGTTAAGGCTCGTGAAGAACATTTGCGTTTGGTACATGAAGCTCAGTCCAAGGTACATTCTGTGGAGCAGAGTGGACGCACAGTGGACCATCATCAGGTTGAACATGAAGTCCATCCCCAGATTGCTGACACACCCGAAGTGGTGAAAGCCCGCGAAGAACATTTGCGTTTGGTAAACGAGGCCAAACTGAAAGCCCAGTCTGTGGAACATCATCAAATCGATTCTGTTCACCCTGAAATTGTTCATCCCGAAGAAACTCCCGAAGTCAGCCAAGCCCGCGAACAACATTTGCGCATTTTCAATGAAGTCAAAGCCCACGTTGAGAAGGAACAGAAGTCTAGAAGTGAACTTGGCCTCGAAGCTGCTGAACAGGACCGGCCAAAGGAAGAAGAAAAAATTCTTGAATTGGAACGCATTCGTGAGGCCGAACGCTTGCAAGAGGAACAAAAACAATTGGAATTGGAGCGTATGCGTGAAGCCGAACGTTTGGCAGAGGAACAGCGACAAATGGAGGCGGAATTAATGCGTTTGAAGCAGGAGGAAGAACAACGCTTGGCATTGGATTTGCTGGAGCAACAACGTCAACTGAAAGCTGAACAGGAACAATTGCAGCAAGGTTTTACTACTGTGGAGTACAAACCAATTTCCATACCAGATTCTATTGCAGCTTTGATGGTGGAAAAACAAGAAACTCTGAACAATGAAAGTCCACAAGTGAAAAGTATTGTCGTCGACAGTCACATTCAGCAGCCCGTGCAACCTCAAATAGTAGTTCCGGTCGTTGCTCCACAATACGGCGAAAATCCATTCCTGAAGAATCTCGTAGTGGACTCCAATGTCAAGCAGGTGGTACAAGTTCAACAGCCAGTTTATGTTGAACCTCAAGTGGGATCGGTAGCTGTTCCATCAGCTGAACCAGTCGCTCGTTACATCCAATCATCGCAGCAGTCTTTGGGCACCAAACACCAACATATCAAAGATGATACCATCAAAATTCCCTCCGTAGATCATGCGAGCTATCAGCCAGCCGACACAGCCGCAGCCCTCATCCATCTGGAAAAAGCCAGACAAGAACATTTTCGTGCTCATGAACAGGCCTTGGAACAATTGCGTCTGGCCAGAGTACAGAATCCATCACTGAAGGACTGCAATCATTGATTGAAAGAAAATGCGATTCCCACCTCTCCCCACCCCAGCCACTCCACTTTATAAGGCATAAGTTTACTGATTTTATTAATGATATATTTTTCTAATTTTTTTAATCTCAACGAAAAAAACTTAAGAGAAATTTGTTAAATTTTGTGAATCATTTGATATGAGTGTAGGTTTTTATAGGTATAAAATATATAGGTCAGAGAGAAGAAAAGATGAATTAAAGAGATATATATGTACGTAATGATACTCGTATGATATAAACGCATATTAGTTTCAAAAGCTACAAAAAACTATAATCAAAAAATGTTTTATTTTGTTCTTGATAAGGAAGAAGCGGGATTCGTTGCTAGGCAATAAAAAATGGAAAAAAAATTGCTGGAGATTATTTAATATCATTGGGGATTAGGACAAAGCACCTCATTGCCAAAAAATGAGTTTGTTAAGTAAAAAATTGCCCGAGTGACTACTTACAAAACAGTACCTACCAAACTACCACAAAGTGCTACCAAAAAAAAAAACACTTGTTCGATTTGTTGTTTTATTTAGATGATGGAGGGATTGAACTTGCGATCCACTGATTGGTAGTTAAACACACCATGCATTTTAACGAATAGAAGCAGTGGACTAATATTTTCCATAATTTTCTACGGACTAAATATGGACCATATGATGTAGCTAATGGGACATATTGATACATGTCTAAACCAAAGTCCATATTTCCACTGTACATGTTTCCTTCACTGTACACCAGTTGAGGTACTTTTCATTCCATTTCTTCATCCTACACACCCATACACAAAAACTAATAATTCTGGCTCTATTTCTACACTCTGCACCAAATTTAATACGATCAAGAAGTCTTCAGGTCGGCAACAGCTGATGTTAGACGACTTAACCGGCGGCCGCTTATACTTTTCAATCGATTCGCTTCCACCTCTAATCGGTAACTGCTTCACTTGGAGACCTTTGGTCCATTGTGTTCATCCTACGAAGATAATAGGAGAGATATAGAATCGAGAGAGAGAGAGAGAGAGAGAGAGAGGAGATAGAGAGGGAGAAGAAAGGGTTTATGAAGAGAGTTTTTTTGACCAGAATGTTCTTCCTAGCCAGGGAATGCTCTTAGTAAATTAGTAGATGATGAGATCTAAGTCTGAGAAGACCGTCAGATATTCTATCCACCAAATAGACTAAGTTTCTTGCTGGATAATATGGACATCTGTACTAAGATATAGATGGGAGCTTTATAATCTTCTCGAGTTTACCGAGATTATAATGATCATCATACCAAAATGTACAATTTCAGTTTTTTTCTCACACACTATACAGTACGGATTTCGAAATCTACATCAAAACGTAAATGCTACACACTCACCGTGATCCTAATACCAAAATGCTAAATTACTGTCTTATCCCAAAATGTAGTACTTTATGTACGTACGCGTCATAGTACGAATTTTCTCCTTCGCTCTTCTTCTACTCTAAATATCAAATTTATTAGCATTTAGTACTTTTAGAAAAGTACATCGTGCGGTTTTCCAAATCTACCTCCTCATCTAAACGCTATACACAAACAAATGCACAACTCCAGTCGCATAGTATATACTATAGTACGAATTTCTAAATTTACTTTTTATATATTTAATAAGCAATTTCGTACCATTTTTAGAGCGACCTTTTTATTTCAACCCAACTTAACAGCAGTGACCCATCAAATACCACCTACATATATTTACCCTAATTCCCAAACTTAATTCTCACATAATTTCAATTGGACTACATTTAGTCCATTTTAGTATTTTTGGTAAAATTATTGTTCAAATTTCCCAGAAACCTTTAATACGTTTACATACAAGATCAAAAACCTTCATTCGAAATTTCAAGCTCTATGCTTTACCCTAAATGATGATTTTAACATAACTTTTTTAGTACGTGTTTTCAAATTCACCTCCATATATCAACCCCAACGCGCCAATACCAAATTTTAGATTTCCAATTCTATCCCTTCCCCAAATACCAAATTTAGTACCATATAGTACTTTTCTTAATTTTTTAAGCATTTAGTAATTTTCGTACACATTTCCAAACCATCTTTAATTTTCTAACCTATCACCAATAGGGATTTTTTTATATAATTTCGCATAATCTTAGTACATTTTCCAAAACCACGTACATATATCAATTCCAGATACCAAAAAAGACTTCAATATCAAATTTGAGGATTACAACCGTATCCCATTACCAATTTAGTGCACACCAATATCCTACACTTCAGCAGCAATCATAATTCTACATTTCAATACATATAAGTACGAATTTTCAAAGCTTCCAACTTTTGGCAATCCTACACTTCAAATTTCCAAAACTACATCCATACCTTTACCACACATTCCCATAGAATTCTTTTTTCCAAATTTCAGAATTCAAGCTCTATCGGTTCACCACAATTCTAATTTGTATCCAATTTAGTACACATATGTACAAAATTTCCATAGCAATCTGCATCATACAAACCAATAGAAGCCTTATTTCCCAATTTCGGGATTTCAGCCCTAAACCGATGAGCCCGTCACCAAAATCCAAATTGTACCAAATTTAGTACCATCTCGTACACATAAGTACGTTTTTAAACACTTTGGGGGAGGTCCTATACAGAGTGGACTATTTATTCAAACTAGCTGCAGTATATAAAAAAAATACTGGGATGTGAAAAATTTTAAGAAAATCAATCAATATTTCTACGTGCCCAATTTGAACTTGTCTAAGGTCTGAGCTCCATGGCCCCATATAACGGTACCTACCGATATTCTACATTTTGATTGTTTTTTAAACCCTACACCACAGTTGGTCAGGGTATTTTGTCTTTGTGCATTTGTTTGTAACGGGAAACGAGATAGACCCATAGTTCCTGTTGATGATCTGCTTAGAATCACATTCCGAGTCGATTTATGCATGTCCGTCCGTCTGTCCACGAATTCTTGTAAACAAAGTACAGGTCGCATTTATTTGCACAATACAGGAGAAATATTGCACAAGTCATTTGTTTGACTCAAGGTCGAACCCTATTCAAATTGGAGATATTCGGTCAAAATTTAGATATAGCTCCTATATATATCTTCATCTTTTAATTGTGCACCAAACATGTAATATCGGCGCAAATAGTATGGAGTGTTGCATATACGACCAAATTAGGCCTAAAAATAAGTATGCCAAATTTGATCGAAATCGGTACAGATATAGCTCCCATATATATTGTTCGTCCGATTTGTTATTTTTGTCCTCCGCAGCCGTAATATGCACTCTGGAACAACAATACTTGGGAATAAAAATAGCTCAGAAATACATTTGCTAAATTTTATCGAGATTGATTCAGATTTGGATATAACTCCCAAATATATCTTTATCTGCTTTCAAGTTAAATGCGCCCCAAATAGGTAATATAGACCAGAATTGAAAAAACACAAATGCCTTGGCAAATTTAATCCTTTGGACTTTCGATTATAACTATAATCATAGTTGGTATGATTTAATTTTCACAAATTCTCCATAAAAACTTTTGTTATGTGAAGCTCTACTAAATATGCAAAGCGGTGTAGGGTATCATAAAGTCGGCCCCGCCTGACATTAAGACTTCCTTCACTGGTTTGCTACAAAGGCATAGAAGTATAAAGATAGGACAAGACAGAGTAAAATATGGCAACCCTGTGAAAAATACCTCTGTTGTTATGATATCGTAACAACATAGTTAGCAATGTTAAGCAATTTAAACCGCTAAGGCAGTATGCAATTATTTGGGAAGGTATATGGAATAAAATTTTGAATCCAATATTTTGGATTATCCAAACTTTTATTTGTCATTCTTTCCTATAATTGTGTTTTCTATATTAGCATGCCTTTGTCATATGCTGTAATTCAAAGTAGTATAGCCTCAAACCATTTGCTCAGAATGCATTTTGTCTAGTCTTTACCATTTTAGGTCTTTGTTTGCTAATGGGTCAGTGGAACAGAAAGTTAATGTGGCCTTCATAGAGCCAAAAAAATATACCAAAACGTTTGGCGGTTTATCTTTTGTTCCTTCTTCGTTTTATTCATGTAAGTATTACATCGTTTTTTCTTCTTACATTTCATCATTTTGCATCCATTGCAAGTAGTATATATTTCCTCATTTTACAAATGACATTTCAAAGATAAACCAACATAAATGTATTTAAGAAATATTAAATAAAATTTGCATCATACATTTAGCCATTGTTATCGGATCGCTTGCCGTCAGTGCCAGTGCCTGGCAGACGTTAAAACTTATCGAAATTTTCAATACATACGTAATTAGCTAAAAGATTCCACATTCAGCGCCAGGGTCCTTCAATCTGCATGTCTGATTGACAAAGTGTCAATCAACTTGTGATGGCTACTACTGTTGTTGTTGGCATTAATAACACACCACTGTGTCACGGGGATCGAAGTGACGCCGAATTATCTCCGAATCTATGTCAAATGGATATTTGCATAGCACTCGACGACTCGACGACATGGAAGTATTGATAAAATTGACTATAAAATTTGGCACTAAATTAGACCATGAAATGAATGTGGGGGACGGGAGATTTCAGGGTCACGTGATGTGCGAGGAACATTGATCTCTTCAGAGCAGATAATGTTTTGATATTTCGACATAAGTGAAAATGTGTTGTGTATGTTTGTATGTACATACTAATTGTTGAATATTGAAGTGGAGCGCATTTCAATTGCTCTCGAGCTGAAGATACAACAAATTAGTTGTACAGCGGAGAACTTGAATTGATTGACAATTGTCAATACAAAAGCGTGAAAAGCACCATCTCAATGTAGAATAAAATAAAATAACGTCTCTCATAATGTGTTCTACGCAATTTGCAAATGCAGCGACATTTATTGATTTTTTGAGCCTTGAGTCTTGAAAGAACGTATATAGATATGTAAAATAGCACATGCCAATGTCAAAAACAAGAAAAACATTATTCTCAAGTTGAATGTCAATGTTGCAGAATCCATAAACATAAAGTAGGTCAAGAGGAAGCGTTTTCATTTCGCATTATGCGATTCTAGAATTTGGAAATTAGCATTGTATGGCGTTCTAGT